GTCGCCAGGGTCTGCACGCCAGGCCCGCCTCCGGCGGGGGGGAGGTAGTTCTGTTTTTGCTGCTCAAACAGTGTCCTTCCCTGGATCCCACCAATTTTTTTTTGTTTTGTTTTGCTTTTTTGGTACCAGGGATCGAACAAGGCAGGCCACCGAACCGCTGAGCTAGATCCCCGCCCTGTTTTTGGTTTTTCTGATACTGATGATTGAACTCAGGACGGATTTCCAGCCTTTTTTTATTTTAAGACAGGGTCTCACAAAGTCGCTAAATTGACCAGGACGGGTTCAAATGTTTCCCCTTTCTGCCTCGGACTCCCAGAACACTGGGATTACAGCGTGCACCACCACGCTGGCGGGATGCTTTTGTACACGGGTAGAGGCAAGACCCTAGGCTGCTGGAGAGAGAGGAGTGCATGCCCTGCCAGCTGACGCCCACAGGTGCTTACCCTACGTTCCTGGTCCTGCTGTGACGTTCCACTTAAGGCTGTGTGGAAAGGTGCTCACACAAACGAAGAGCAGGCCTGCTGCTGACCCAGAGACGACGTGGGCAAAGCCGGCCCTGTGATGTGGGCAGAGGGCCTGGTCGGGTGGGCAGTAGTCTGGCAGCTTTCCTCGCAGGGGGAGTCTAGAGTGTTGCCAGCCTTGGGTGTGGGCCACTTCAGGTGCCAAGGGGCTTTGGTTTTACCGATTCATCCTGCTCTACTTGGGATGGAAATCGTGAGTAGGCAAGAAGATGCCACCCAGAGGAGCCTTTTTAGGACTCCAGGGACTGATCTGAGCAGCAATGGAGGAGCAAAAGACAGGCTCGCTCGTGTGCAGTGTCAGGCTTTCCGCTCAGCTGGGTAGGACAGGGCTCCTCAGGGAGTCCTCCGGGTGGAGGACGTGCAGAGTAATCTGGAGACGCTGCGCGGTGGATCGTGAGTAGGCAAGAAGATGCCACCCAGAGGAGCCTTTTTAGGACTCCAGGGACTGATCTGAGCAGCAATGGAGGAGCAAAAGACAGGCTCGCTCGTGTGCAGTGTCAGGCTTTCCGCTCAGCTGGGTAGGACAGGGCTCCTCAGGGAGTCCTCCGGGTGGAGGACGTGCAGAGTAATCTGGAGACGCTGCGCGGTGGGGTCTCTTAGGTCGGACCTGCCACTGCAAATGCAGGCGCCTCCTGGAGTAGCTGTGCGGCACTCAGCTGGGTAGGACAGGGCTCCTCAGGGAGTCCTCCGGGTGGAGGACGTGCAGAGTAATCTGGAGACGCTGCGCGGTGGGGTCTGCTAGGTCGGACCTGCCACTGCAAATGCAGGCGCCTCCTGGAGTAGCTGTGCGGCCTGTGTGTCTCCTTTCCAGCTCTCTGGCCTGGCCTAATGGACATCGCAGCCCCGCCTTCCCTAACGGAACTTGAGCCCTGTTCCTTCTAGGCGTGCCCACCCCACCAGGGGGCAGTGGGGAAGGTGGGCACCCTGGGGGACCCCGGTTAGCTCCTCCTGGTACCCCTGTGGTCTGGCCTCTCGCCTCCAGAGCACGGGCTCACTGTGGGGCACAGTGTCCTGGCCCCCCAGGCCCCTCAAACCCAGGGTCCTCCCTACCCCCAGGGCTGAGGCCTCACTGTCTCTCAACTCCTGAAGGTCCCAGGGCTTGTGATGCCCATGTGGCTGCTGCTGTCAAGGGCTGCAAGGGCCTCAGCCTGGCTGGCGGGATCCCGGGGTGGAGGGGGAGTTTGCAGAGCCTCTGTTCACTCACAGCGGTGTTTCGCACACAGGCCCGGCTGATGTTCGAGGGGGAGGTGGCCAGCTTGGAGGCTCTGCGCGGCACAGGCCTGGTGCGTGTGCCTCGGCCCATAAAGGTGATAGATCTGCCGGGAGGCGGGGCCGCCTTTGTGATGGAGCATTTGAAGATGAAGAGTTTGAGCAGGTGAGCGTGAGCGAGCAAGGGGCACGTGCATGTGCACACATGGACAGACACACATACACAGGGACACATGCATGTCCCACAGAGGCACACAGATATAGGGGGGCGTGTGCAGGGAGGGGGACACGTGTGTACACAAGACACATGTGAAGGGAGAGAGTCTGAGAAAAGAGGAAAGGGGTGGAGGGAGAGAGGGACAGGAGACATAGGAAAGCGGCCCTGCTGAGCTGCGTGTGTAACAGCCCATTCCCAGAAGCCGCTTGTCCCTTTCCTTTTTGTTTCTGTTTGTTCCAGTATGGGAAACTGAACCAAGGACAGTGGTGATGAACCCCCTAGAAGCCAAGTGCCCGAACTGCAGCCCAACCCACTCATTTGTTGCAGAGGGCCAGCACTACAATTAAACCTGAATGCCTGATGCTCGGCTGCTGGGGCCGTGCTGGGGCCGTGCTGGGCTGACTTGGCCTGCGGCCGACAGAGGGCTCTGGGCCTCCGCTGCGGCATGTGTGCCATAGGTTCACCACCACTGACCTAGGACCTCCCCAGCCCCTTTTTTTTGTACAGGGGATCAAACTGGAGACTTTACACTCGTGAGGCAGGCAGCGGAACCACCGAGCTAAATCTCTGGTCCTCCAGCCCTCTTTTATTTCCATCTTGAGATGGGGTCTAAGGTGTCCAGGCTGGGCTTGAACTTTTGACCCTCTTGACTCAGCCTCCTGAGTAGCTGGGAACAGGTGTGTGAACCTGGTCCAGGCCCAGAGACCATGCTTAATGGAGACAGAAGTTACTGCTTTGGTTTTGCTGTTGTGAAGATGTACCCACCTCTTGCTTTGTGCTTTATTGAGCATGAATGCCAGTTAGTTTGGGCTCAGTGAGGCTGACGTCTTCACTGTCTGGAGTCTTGCTTGGATTTCTGAACACTAAAGTCATGTCTAGTGGTATAAAATGTGGGAAGTAAAAACGTGCAAAGAGAAGTCATCCAGCCTCCTGCAATTCCGTCAGCAAGGAGCGGCCCCTGAATTGTCACCTTGCTTTGCTGCTCATGGTTTACATTTGTTTGCAGAGTGGGGAGCTGGCTCTGCCCGGTGCCAGGGCCCCCTGAGCCCTCTGCGGAGGCCCTCTCGCTAGTTCCTGGCCCGCTTTCGTGAATTTGTTCTTTGGAAAGGGTCCTTGTCCAGGTGTTCATTTTTCTACTTTTTCATGAAGAGTAGCTTTGAAGATCTTTCAAACAGAACCCCCCGGGTGCTGATTTGTTTGTAGTTTTCATCGGCTGCATTTCTTCTGTCCTCAGTCACGCATCAAAGCTTGGGGAGCAGATGGCAGAGTTGCACCTTTACAACCAGAAGCTCAGAGAGAAGCTGAAGGCGGAGGAGAACACCTTGGGTGTGTTCAGGTTGTCTTGTCCCCAGCCCAGCCCCTCAGCTCCCCTGTTCTTCCACACTAGGGGCCCTCTGTACCATGTTACAGAAATGAGGTCCTTACGTGAGGCTGTGGATGGAGCAGTGGGGTTGGCTTGTGGTGCTTCGCCCCTGCCCCGCGGTCTGCCTGCTCCAGGTCGTGTCCCCACAGGTCCACACTCGGGCCACTCATCCTCAGGCCACGCTGTCCGTGAGCTGCCTGACCTTGCCAGTGCTCCGTGAGGTCTGGTATCCCGGAGGATGCGAGCAGCGCTCAGGGCGACATCTCTTTGACAGGCCGCAGGGCGGAGGGTGCCGGGCCCCAGTGTGTGAGTAAGTTCGGCTTCCACGTGGCGACATGCTATGGCTTCATCCAGCAGGTGAGTGCTGCGCGGGGACGTCCTTAGCTCCTGGTTCCTGAAGGCAGGTGGGGACTTGACACTGCGGTGGAAGCGGGGGCCACTGACTGAGCTTGGAGTGGGGAGAGGTGCGGCCAGGAGGAGTGGCGTGGGCAGGCAGGGGTCGGGGTTCCCGGCAGGGCGAAGGTCGTGCTGTGACCCGTGGAGTCGGGCTTCTTTCACTTACGGCACCATTTTCAAGGTACACCCTGGTCGCACGGGTCAGAGCGGCCTTCCTTACGGCCGATGGATGTTCCACTGTGTGGATGGATCACTCATTCATTTGGCTGCATAGCACTAGGGCCTCTGGAATCGCTGTCTTTGAAGCCTACAAAGATCTAAAGAAGATTTACCCCCTGGATCGCCCACCTGCCCTAAGCTGACCTTATTTTGCTATATTAGCGACAGAGTGCCTATCCTATGTATTTATTTCTCCTGTTTAAACTGCGCGTGGTGGCACACGCCTGGAATCCTAGCACTCAGGAGGTTGAGGCAGGAGAATCACGACAAATTTGAAGACAGCCTGGGCTACCCAGTGAGATCAAGGACAGCCTGAACAGTACAGTGGGACACTGTTTCAAAAGAATTGAGAACTGAAATCTTACACAGAATCTCTGTGTGTAGAGCAGGTGAGAGCTGCACTGGTCTGTTAGGAAGGCAGGTTGCCTGCGCTCTCTGGCAGACTCCAGAGCTGAGCACCAGCTCAGATTAGCAGTGGCACGGCCTGTAGGCGCCCAGGCCTGCGTCCACCTGTCCACCTGCTTTGAGCACAAGATTGTCCTGCACGTGCTAGGTTCTGGGCTACCTGCTACCGGGGAGCTCTGAGAGGTCCTGGGTGGCCATGCTGCAGGGTAGGCTCCTGAGATGCATAGAGCACAGAGACCTGCGGGGACTGACACATTTTGTGCCCTATTGATACAAGGCACCATTCCAGGCATTTTGTGCGGTTGGCTCACCAGGGGCCACGGCTGGCAAGGACGTGGGTGCTGCCATGCATCTTTTTACAGTTGAGGGAACTGATGCCCAGGGCCCAGGGCCACCCTGACTGTGCAGGTGGAAAGAGGAGGGCCATGTTGGGACCCTCGTCAGCCTCACGGTGTGGGTCGTCACTCTTTTCGACCCCGCCCCTCCGTCAGGGTGAGGCCAGGTGGCAGCTGCCCGTGGATGCTCAGGGGGCGGCTGCAGCTTTCTTTTCTCTGTGGAGGCGGAGGGACTGGGCTGCTGGTGTTGACCTCCTCCCTCCCTCTCCCAGCCTGCTGCTGATCTGTTCTTGCCACAGGTTGTGTTTTACAGAATTCAGTACAAGGGCAGACATACGCACATGCTGTCACTGTCTGGGTCCTTTCACTCAGCATAACCATTCTGAAACTCATCCATGTTGAGAAGTCTGTGTCTCTGCTGTGGGTGCTGCCCGTGCTGGAGTCCATTCTATTATGTGGATGTAGCAGTTTGCTTATCATTCACGTGCTGCTGGACATCTGCGTGATTCTAGGTTTTGATTTTTATAAATAGAGCTGCTGTGCCTAGGTGTTGTGGCACACACCTGTAGTCCTAGCACTCTGGGAGGCTGAGGCAGGACTACAGAGTGAGGTCAAGGCCAGCCTGTACTACATAGTGAGACACTGCTTTAAAAACCAAAACCAAGGGCTGGGAATTTAGCTAGGTGGTGCTGCTCCTGCCTTGCAAACACAAGATCCTGAGTTCTATCCCTGGTACCAGAAAAAAGAAAATAACAATTGAAAAAACAAAAACCAAGAGCTGCTGTGAACCTGTGTGCACAAGTCTTTGTGGGGATTCATGCTTCCATTTATCTTGGTAAATTTGAGGTGAAAGGGTCTGTGGAAAGTTCCTGTGTAAGTTTTAAGGGCCTGTCAGTCTCCCAAGTGGTACATCACACCAGCTACATCCCACCAGCACGCCTGGGCCTCCAGGTCCCACGTGTCCTCAATCATGCTTGATAGTTTTCTGTTTTGTCTCTTTTTTTTTCCCTTCCTTCCTCACTCCCTCCTAACTTCGTTCTTTTCCAGTATCAGGGACTGAACCCAGGGCTTTCATATTAAACTATATCCCCAGCCCCATTTAAAAAAATTTTTTTTGCACCAGGGATTGAACTCAGGTCCTTGCACTTGCAAGGCAGGTGGTAGAACCACTGAGCTAAACCCCCACCCCAACCCCTTTTTCAAATTTGAAACAGAATTTTGCTAAATTGCCCATGCTGGCTCAAACTTATGCTCCCTCTGCCTCAGCCTACCCGAGTGCTAGGATTACAGCTGTGTGCCTCCATGCCTTGTTTTGCTGTTTTTTAAAATTGTAGTCATCCTACCCAGTATGAAGTTGTATCTCACTGTGATACTGTGGTTTTATTTTTGCTTCCATGGTGAAGGTCTGGAGCATCTATTCATGTGTGCATTTGCACATGTGTGTATATCTTCTTCAGCGAATTGTATGTTCAAGTACATCATCCATTGTGTGAAGTTATGTACTTGAGTTTCTTTATATATTTTGGTTGTAAGTTCTTTACCAGAGATATGATTTGCAAATATTTCTCCTAGTTTGTTTTTCTCTTGAAAGTGCCTCCAAAGAGCAGAAGATTAAATTTTGATGAAGTCCAGTTCACCAATTTTTCTTTTATGAATTATGTTTTAGATTTATAGCGAAAGGGTTGGGGACTTGGCTCAGTGGTTCTGCTGCCTGCTTCACAAGCACAAAGGCCTGAGTTCGATCCCTCGTACCAAAAACAAAACAAAACTGTAGAATTATAGCTAAGAAATCTTTGTCTAAGCTAAGGTCATAAAGATTTCCTCCTTTTAGAGGATTTACAGTGTGGGGTTTTGCAGTTTGGGCCATAATCCATCTTGTTAATTTTTGTATATGATTCATGGAATAGATTGAAATTGTTTTTACTTGATGTTGGAGACCAGAGGCGAACTGAGGCCTAATTGGCCTCCTCTGTGAGCACAGTGGAGAAAGCCTGCACTCCGGGGTGATTGCATGATGCAGGGAAAATTTAAGACAGCTGAGGTTAAGTTGTTTTCCTGAGCATATACTAATGGATATTGAAAACTATATGAATCTTATAGTACTTTGATTGCTTGTACCCGTGTTTGGGTGAATAAAGGCAACATGAGCCAGACGAGGGGCTGGGGGCAGCGTGTCAGGGTGAACAAAGTAAAGAAATAGCGAGGGGAGGTCCGAGAGCAAAGTTGTCTGTTTGGGGTCTGCTCTGGGTGGGTCCCAGCCTGGGGTTTGGGACCCAGGCTCGCCTACAACTTGTGGAGAGCCAACTGGTATAGCATGATTTATTGGAAAAACTGTGCTGTCCTCACGAGACTGTCTTTGCACCTTTGGTAAAAAGCAGTTGGGTATACACTTGCAGGTCTGTTTGCGGTGCTGTGTTCTGTTGATCTACTTGTCTGTCTTGACTGCTGCAGCTTTATAATAAGTATTGACATTTGTTTTTCTTTATAAAAAAATTTTTTTAACTTGTTTAGGGCCTTTCCATTTCCACATGGATTTCTATTTCCATATGAGTTCCTGTGTCACTTTAAAAAAAAAAGAGGCTAAAATTTTATTGGGATTGCAATGGGTGTATGCATTAATTTGGGGAGCATTATAATATGAGTAATACAGAGATTTTTTTTTAAATATGTGAACATGTTACTTCCTTCCATTTACTTAGGTTTTCTGTAAGTTGCTAAGTTGCCCAGGCTGGGGTTTGAACTTTTGATCCTCCTGTTCAGTTTTTGTGACAGGTCTGTCTTTTCACATCTGTTGTCACATTTATCCCTAAATGTTTCCTATTTTGTGATGCTATTGACTTTTAAAAAAATTGAATTATTAGGGCTTTTTTGGGTGGGTAGTCTATAGAAACACAATATTTAAAAGTTCATTTTTGTATATTTGTATCCTACAACCTTGTTAAATTTACTTAGTTCTGGTGACTTTTGTTTGCGTACATAAGTGGTGTTGAGGATTGAACTAGGGCCTCATGCATAATAAGCATGTGCTCTCCAGCCTTTTTTTTTTTTTTTTTAATATTTTGTCAGATTTTCTATACACATTTTAACATTTACTGTTTTTTTGTTTTGTTTTGTTTTTGAGACAGGGTCTCACTATGTAGTTGAGACTGACCTGGAACTCACTATGTAGCCCAGGCTGGTCTCGAACTCACAGCGATCCTCCTGCCTCAGCCTCCCGAGTGCTGGGATTAACATTTACTGTTAAAGACAGTTTTACTTTACAATTTATATGTTTAATTAATTTTCCATGAGACTCTTGTACAATATTCCACAAAAGTGGTAAAAGTGGACATCTTTGACTTTTTTCTGATCCTAGCAGGAAAGGACTCATTTTTCTACCATTAAATATGAGGTTAGCAGTAGATTTTTTTTTAGGTGTATTAGACTTAAGAACTTCCCTTCTATTCCTAGTTTTCTGGAAGTTCTTGTCAAGATTGCTTGTTTTTGTCAAATGCTTTTCCTTCATCTTTCGTGATGAACATATAATTTTCCTTCCTTAGTTTAATATAGGTGAATTATATCATTTAGAATGTTCCTCCTGGTGATGCATTTTCTTTCTTATATAATTGGATTATATCTGCTAAACTTCTGCTTAGAATATCTGTATTTATGTTTAGGGGTAATCATCTATAGTTTTCTTTTCTTATAATATCTTTGGCTGTGGTTACAGGAGTAATGCTGGCCTCAAGAATGAGTTGAGAACTCTGGACGATGAGGCAGGAGGATCACTGTGAGGTTGAGACCAGCCTGGGCTACGTAGTGAGTTCCAGGTCAGTCTCAACTACACAGTTGAGACCCTGTCTCAAAAAAACCAACCAACCAAACAAACAAACAAAAAGAATGAGTTGAGGGCCAGGGATTTAGCTCAGTGGTGCCGTTGTCTGCCCTGTAAGTGCAAGGGCCTGAGTTTGACCCCTGGTACCAAAAAACCCCAAAGCAAACAAACAAACAAAAAATCCCAGAATGAGTTGAGGGCTGGCGATTTAGCTCAGTGGCACTGAACCTCCTCACAAGCATAAGGTCCTGAGTTTGATCCTGGTACTGCCAAAAAAAAAAAAAAAAAAAAAAGTTGAGGTATATTCTGTACCACTTTTCTGAAAGTTTTTGTAAAATTCATAGTTTTTTCCTGAAATATTTGTGAAGAGCTCACAGTGAAGTAATCTATGCCTGGAATTTTCTTTATGGGAAGATTTTAAACTATAAATCCAAATTCTTTATTAAATATAGGGCTATTCGGATTATTATTTCATACATAGGGGATTGAATCCTGGGCTTTCACACTGAGCCACCCCTCACCCCCATTTATCTTTTAAATTTTGAGACAGGATTTCTCCAAGTTGCTAAATTGCGGAACTCAAACTTTCGATCCTCTTGCCTCAGCCTCCCAGAATGCTGGGATTATGGCGTGTATTACCATATGCAGCTACATATTTTTGATAGACTGTGGTAGTGTCTTTCAAGGAATTTGTCCATGTGATCTAAATTGGTAGATCTTTGCACAAGATTTTAAAATATTTCTCAATTATTCTTTTAGTATCTGTAGATTGTGTTGATGTTTCTTTCATTCCTGATATTGGTAATGTATCTGTTTAGCCTGGTCAGTCTGGCTGGAAGTTTATCAATTTTACTGAACTTCTCATAGAACGACCTTTTTGTACATGGACTTTTACTGTTGTTTTTCTATTTCATTGATACCTGATAAGCCTCCCAAGTGCTGGGATTACAAGTGTGCATCACTACACTTGATGATTTTTTAATGTTACTTAGTTTTCAAATACTTAGTAATTTCCTAGAGATATTTCTATTGATAATTCTATGGTGGTCATGTAGTATACTCTGAAATTATATATGACTTTTCAATTTATTGTTTTATGGTCCAGAACATGGTCTTTATCTTTTTTTTTTTTTTTTTTTTTTTTTTGTCAAAACTGTTTTTTTTTTTTTTTTTTTTTTTTTTTTTTTTTTGGTGTCGGGGACCAAACTTGGGTCTTTGTGCTTGCAAGGTAGGCAGTGGAACCACTGAGCTAAATCCCTGGCCCCAGAACATGATCTGTCTTGGTAAATGCTTCACGTGCACTTGAAAGGTAGTGCTACTGTTGGCTAGAGTGTCCTATAAATGTCAGTCTGTTGTAGTTAGATGATAATGTTGAAATCTACATGCTTTATTTTTCTGCCTACTGGTTCTATCAATTATTGAGAGAGGGGTTGAAATCTCCAACTCTGTCTTAATATTAAGGCTGCCATATAAAATACTACAGACAGGGTGGGTTAATTTCTTACAGTTCTGGAGGCTGGGAAGTCCAAGGTCAAGGTGGTGGCCCATGGCCCATTTGATGTTGAGGGCCTACTTCCTGGCTGGCAAGATGGTTACCTCCTTGTTGCGTAATCACATACTTCCTCAGAGCGCGTGCGTGTGATAAAAAAATCTCGCATTTTTCTGCTTTTATAGGATCCTTCATCCTACCAGATTAGGATCTCCCCCTTATCTCAGTCACTCCTACCTGCCTCCTGCAATTCTCTCTAAATACAGTTGCTTTGGGGGTTAGGGTTTTGACATATGGATTCCCGGAGCAGTGCAGAACTCAGGCTGTAGGAGGCTATAATTGTGGATTCATCTATTTCCCCTCTTAGTACTGTCAGTTTTATTTTCAAGTATTCTCTATTTTTTATTTTTTTTGGCACTGGAGATCGAACTTTGCGCTTGCCAGGCAGGTGTTGTGCCTGCTGAGCTATATCCCCTGCCCTATTTTCATGTGTTCTTAAGCTGTTTTTTTTTTTTTTTGGTTTTTTGAGGCAGGGTCTCACTATGTAGCCCAGGCTAGTCTCAAACGCACAGCAATCCTTCTGCCTCAGCCTCCCAAGTGCTGGGATTACAGGCATGCACCACCACACCTGGAGCCTTGTAAGCTCTGTTTTAAAGGCTTAAGCTCTGTTTTAAAGGCATAAATGTTTACATTATGTCCTCTTCCTCTCTTGACCCTCTTTTTATCATGAAATGACTTTTACTTGGTGATACTCTTTGCTCCAAAGTCAGCTTTATCTGATAAGATAGCCATGCTAGCTTTTGACTATTTTTAGCAACTTTTCAAACCTTTTAATCTACTTATTTTTGTATATAATGTATATTTCTGCACACAATCTAGAGTTGGCTTGTGCTTTATTTTTGTAACCTCTTCACTTCTGTCACTTAACTAGAATATTTCTGACCATTTGCATTTAATGTGCATTTTTTTTTTTTGGTACTGGGGATTGAACTCAGGACCTTGCACTTGCAAGTGGCACCAATGAGCTAAATCCCCGGCCCTAATGTGCATTTGATGTATTTGGGTCTGAGTTTGTCATTCTCCTGTTTTTTATTTGCCCATCTGTGCTTTGCTCTTTTTCTCTTCACCTTCCTTATTTTGGAGTATTTTACGATTTGTTTTATCTGTTGGCTTGCTGGCTGTAGTATTTTGCCATGTTCTTTAGTGGTCGCTCTGGGGTCAGGCAGATTGGCTCCCGATTGCAGTGCTGGCCTCCTGTTCCCCAGGTGAACGACTGGCAAGATGACTGGCTGACCTTCTTCACCAGGCACCGGCTCCAAGCACAGCTGGACCTCATCGAGAAGGACTACGCTGACCGGGAGGCTAGAGAGCTCTGGTCTAGGCTACAGGTGGGCGCTGGAGCTGCTTCTCTGGAGAAAAGGTTATGCTCTCGTGTCTGGCCACTTTCATGGGCTTCTGAGTCCTGGAGTAGAGCTGGTCCAGTTGGGGACACGAGGGACCCACTTGGCCCTGCAGTCCAGTTCATGATGCTGGGTCACCACATATCTCAGTTGACGTTTTCCTCAGGCACCTGGCTCATGACTGGTGGCTTCCACTGTCACTTGTCTCGTTATTAGTAACACTTTTCCCTTCTTATCACTTCCTCCTCTGCCAAAGCATGACTGTCTCAGCGTTAGTGAGGATGTGAGTTCCAGAATGACTGCTTTCAAAGTAAAACAACATATTAGACATATTAGAATTTGTGTGCTGGTGCGGGTGCACCGGCAACAGCAGGATTTAACATAATCTTTAGTGAAGTAACAGCAGGGTATAAACGAGGTGGGTTACATATGTGCAGCCAAACAGATGGTGGAGTTTGCTATGTTAGGTTCAAAACTGGCTCACGTTCTGCAGGATTACACAGTAACGTCCGAGAGTCTCTTCTATGCAGTGCCATACAATCTCTGAATGAAGTTAGGGGTAAACAGCAAGGTGGACAACGCCGCACCCTTCGAGCCAGGCGCCCTTACCTCTGAGCCCGGTAGCCAGTGCTGGGACACTCCGCTGTCTGCTTATTTCCAAGAACTGCAAGGTATCAGGGTCCAAGGTGACTCTCTGCAGCACTTTCCTTTACAGGTGAAGATCCCAGATCTGTTCTGCGGCCTGGAGATCGTCCCTGCCCTGCTCCACGGGGACCTCTGGGCTGGAAACGTGGCCGAGAATGACGAGGGGCCTGTCGTGTACGACCCGGCTTGCTTCTACGGCCATTCGGAGTTCGAACTGGCGATTGCCCTGATGTTTGGGGGCTTCCCCAGGTCTTTCTTTACTGCCTACCACCGGAAACTCCCCAAGGCTCCGGGCTTCGACCGGCGGCTGCTGCTGTACCAGCTCTTCAACTACCTGAACCACTGGAATCACTTCGGGCGCGAGTACCGGAGCGCGTCCTTGGGGACCATGCGCAAGCTGCTAGCCTAATAAAGTCTGCGTGTCGAGTCCCCTCGTCCATCCCCCACGGCCGGCTCCCTCGTGGCTGGGGCAGGCGGGGTGGGGTCCTGGGGCGCCCCAAGGGGAAAGCCAGGAAAGGCCGTGGGACCCGAACCTGGGGTTGGGACCTGCGCCCCGTGCTGCGCTTGCGCAGTG